CAACTTTTGGCTGACGGTAAATTCGGCCAAAAAAAAAAAAAAAAAAAAAAAATCAAACCAAAACATACCCCTTGGAAGTCAAAACCCCTTTCAACCCCCTTTAAAACCCATGCATGCTCCCCTTCCCCCCCCTCTACCAGGCGCTCTGCCCATGCCACATTCAAATATAACACCCGGGCGTTCTATTTGAATAAACCGCCCTGATGCTACATTCGCAAAAAAGATGAGTAAAAACAACAATCTGTTTTTTTAAGGGTCAGTTGAATATAACGCCCGGGTGTTATTTTCGGGTGAAGACGGTAGCACGAATGCCCGTCTTCACCCAAATAGAACGCCCGGTACTTATCGCCGTACCTGGACTGAAAGTCGTGCCAAATACAGCTAAAATAAACAGGCATTATATTCGGGTGAAGACGGTAGTACTGTCCCGACTCTCCCCACCGTATTCCCCCGAATAAAACGTATGGCGATTATGTCTGTATTTGGCCCAACTGTCAGTCCAGATGCAGCAAAAAATGACAGTACATTCTGTTCGGGTGAAGACGGTAGCCGCATCCATCCAGCTGAACGGAGAGCTTATTTATTGGAAACAAGATGGACCAGCGCGGCTCCGCCCGCGTCAAGAATTGGGAGATCGGAAAGGCACAAATAGCCGATGAAAAGAGATCTATTGGAAACAGCGCGAAGAAGCCGGGGTTCAGGAGAATGAGCGGTTGTGATGAGCACATTTGTAAAGACTGGTAGAGATAAAAGGATGGGTGTGAAAGAGGGGGGGGGGGGGGGGGGGGGGGGGGGGGGGGGGAAGGATGGTTGTTATAGGAACTCAGATGTTGAATAGCTACTGACCTTGCTGTGGAGGTGGAATGTGGAGAATGATAGTGATACCAAAGGAATGGAGGCGGGGGAGGGGGGGGAACACAGCAATGGTCGTTTGTTTGGAAAACAAACATAGCTGAACAAAGTATATGGAATGCTATATGAGAAAGAATGGTCTTTGAGACGAAGAATTAACCCCCTCCTAACAACATACCAAAAACACTACCATGCCACCATGCCTCAAAGACATAAGTCGAAACCCGCACACCACGGTTGCATACCCCAGCAGTTGGCGCCCTTGAATGGTCGGTCGGTTGCCGACCAGCCGACCGGTCCGCTGGTCGGCACCTACCGGTCGGGGGTCGTCGGCACCCCACAAAAAAAGTAAATAAACAATTAAAATAAAAATAAAAAATGTTTTTGTTTTTGGGTCCACAACCCCCAATAACCCCACCAACACCCTCATACTCCCCCCC